CCCGGGCCACCCTCGCCGTGTGCCCCCCCGGCCACCACCCCTCTTGGCCCGGAGGTGCGGGGCGGTGGGATGGGGCAGCTCGGACCAGCCGTGAGCCAGGATGGGGGGCCGGGATGGGGGGCTGGGATGGGGGGCCGTGCGCTCCCCACAGCGGGGGACGGGCAGCTGGCAGCAGGGCGGGGACGGAGCTGGGGTGTCACAGCGCTGGCACCACGGGGCACTGGGGAGCAGAAGCAGGGTGAGAACGAGGGGGCATCAGGCTCTGGCTCTCGGGGGCTTCTCGACCCAGATCAGCACAGAGACCTACTGCCGGCCATGCTGAACGAGGGACGGAGGCAAGCAAGGAAGGGCTGGGATGGAGAGGGGAGAGGCAGGGCTGGAGGCGGATGAGGCAGGGCTGGATGGAGACGGATGAGGCAGGGCTGGATGGAGACGAGCAATGCAGATGCTGCTGCAGTCACAAGGCACAGAGCCGGCAGCTGAGGGAGCGGAGAAGCCATAGCTGGTAGCGCGGTACAGATGGGCAGGGGGAGCTTGCTGGGCCAGGCGTGCCATGGTCGGGCGCGGGTCATGGTGCAGCACGCCCCGATGTGGGGGCCAGCATGGAGTGGGGTGGAGACAGCCCCGGGGGTGCCCCGCTGCCCGCGCCCGTGCACAGCAGAGCTCTGGATAGCAGCGGGCGCCGGAGTGAACATGAGCACGGTGCTGTGAGCACAGCGCGTGAGCGTGGGCGCCGTGAGCGTGGGTGCCGTGAGCAGGTCAGGCTTCACCTTCCAGCCTCGGGCTGGTGTTCAGCCCTTTCCCCTCGGCATTACACAGCCCATCCTCCCGTGGCCTGACCTGCCCGCGGGGCCCTTGCGCGTGGTGCTCATCCTCCCGCTCTCTCACCGCACAGGCAGAGGGGCAGCTGCCTGCGTTCCTGCTGGGCAGGTGCTTTCTGATCATTGGGAGGCTCTTCCCTGCCCTCCTCTCTTCTCCAGCGCTTTCCTGCAAGCACAGCTGGTGCCTGGCTGCGGCCGTGGGCCGCCTGCCCCAGCGCTGCTCCGAGGCTCCTCCGCCAGGCTCGGGGCGAGTGCCCCGGTGACGGCGTCAAAGCGGTACCCGGCAGTGCCCGGGGGCTCTCTGGGGGATCCGTCACAGCCGCCGGGAGCTCGCTCCCTTCCCTAGAAACCATTTCCAGTGCTTCGGCCATGCCTGCACCAAGGTTAGCGGCGGCATCGTCACCTTCCAGCCACAAGCTTGGCTCCTGCCAGATCCTCATCTGCTCCTTGGTCCTTCAGCTCCTGCTGCCTCCTGCCCGGCTGGCCAGAGGGCTCTCCCGAGCACCCTCACCCCCTCCTCCCGCACTCCTGCCTCCGTCCTCGCAGACTGGCTTTTCACCTCTCGCTGCCGCTCTCACCCAGCGCGGGGCTGAGGACCTGCTCTTCCCGCGCTGCCCAAGCACGACTTACTGGCTGCCCCATCAGCTTTGCACCCCGTCGCTGTCCCTCCCGTCCCGTCCCTGCCGAAATCCCCAGTGGGGGAAGGTCTCGGGCAGGATCCCGCCGTCGGTTGGTAACTCTGCGTCCTGGCCCGTCGGCGCAGCAGGCCGGCAGAGAGCACGGGACACGGCGCTGCCACGGCGTGCTGGGACAGGCAGGAGCTGAGGCCGGGGGACTTGCCGAGCCCTGGCTGTGCCGGGCATGTGCGGGATGCTCAGGCAGTGAGCTGCAGCCATGGACCCACCGTGGCCCATCGCAGGCAGGCGCTGCGGCAGCCCTGGCACCGGTAATGGCCTGGTGCTGGGCTCTGCACCCCACAGCCGTGCAGCGGGCGGGGCGGCAGAGGGGTGGGGACGCCGGCTGCACGTCCCCAGTTTGGTCTGCGCTCCCCAGTTTGGCCAGTCCCAGTGCCTGGATTGCTGGACCCAGTGATGGAAGGGACCAGCATCTCAGAACAGGCCAGGTCCCCTCTCCCGTGCCTCAGTTTCCCCACCTGGGATCCCCGTGCCCGTGGGCAGGACCAGGAGGACAGGTTGGCCAGGCACCCCCAGGGCACACACACACTCCTGCCCCCAGCACGGGGCCAGAAAGCTTCTGTCCCCCAGTGTCCCCCGCTGTCCCCAGTGTCCCCCAGCACTCAGAGCAGGTCTCTTGGCCGCTCTCCTGCTCGGGTCTCACTGCTTCTGGGGCGGGGGCCCGCTGCTGCAGGGGAGTCGGGTCCCCATGCGCCGGCTGCAAGGGACTGTCCAGGTGTCACGCAGGGGTGGGTGGGCGCCCAGGGGGGCTGTGGCTGCAGCAAAACAGGGTGCGTGTTCAGCCGGCGAGGGGACACCGGGGTCCTGGCCGAGCCCCTCCCCTGCAGCCCAGGCCTGTGCCGGGGCGGCCGGTGCCCAGC